CAGGACGGTAGCTTGACACGCTAACCACTCGGCTAAACTGCCACGAGTACCCTTGAGTCACAGGGTATAATTGAATTTCAAGGAAGGTCAGGCCTCTGCCTCCTGAAAGCTTCTATCAGCAAGGGTTAACTGCAATTTAGACCTTGCCTATATTTCATCAGCACCACCAGCGTGACTCATTACCAGGTCGTGAGTATCGTGGTGACGTTGCCACTCAACTACAGGGCAGATGCGACTAGTATGCGCAAATATCCTTCTGTTTACTTCTTTAGTTTATTTCCATTTCCCTTCATTGTGCTAAAAAAGATAGTTAGTAAATAATGTTTTACGCTCACCTTACTAGGAGTCTTTAGACGAACAGTAATAGTATAATAGTGATATTGCTGATAAAAATTTCCATACGGCCTTTAAATCTGTCCAATTTATTGTGGATGTACTCAGCTACGCCTTATCAATCGTAAACAGAACAAATAACTAAAATCAAGGTAGGTGATTAGAGCGTAACCCCACCAAATCTCCCCACAATAAGCCAGGGAGACTGCTTGCTCTGTCGTTAAATCACACATGCTCTGGCTAGTCCAGGCTAAAAACAGAGCATGTGATAAAAACGACTTTATCAGCCTCAAACAGGCTTCAAGTCAGTAAGTCAATACTAACCTCCCATTCCTAGATGAATCACATCAAGACCTGCCCACATGTTGTCACATCTCTCCCTAGCAAAGAGCAGCTATCATTCAAAATCAGCATGTACCGATTGTACTAAGCTGATGCTAGTAGGCATTTTAGTATAGTGCGTGTGAGCACATTCCCACGTACCAATTTCACCTTCCGCCTATGCGAGATAAGGCGCATGAATGAAAGGGAAGGAAATGAACTTCTGAATGACCGTAGACGTCCAAATGTCTGGCTCACTAGCCATCAGGCAAGAATAGGCGAGCGAAATTCGTGTGGAATTCCGAAAAAGGATTTTGCCTCCAGGAGTCTGGCTAGCAGATTTCAGGCCCTCTCATATGAACCGGAGAAGCAAAGTATGAACTACCCCTTGAATACACGAGCTTTCGCACCGGAGCTGCTAGATTGAGGGATCATGTCAAGCCGGGCCATCATCCATGACCCGTCTAGCATCTGGAAATGTGTTAAATCAGAGAAAAAGAAAAAGTAATACATTCGGTTGAGAGGAAATCTGTTTAAAAAGGCAGAATGTACATGAAAAAATATTTACACTCGGTTCGGCCGGAGGCAGTGGGGCTTTGAGACAGTTGCCTGGATCAACCTTGCTGACAAGACGGGTTACGACGGGCTGAGCATGCACTTATATTTTCACGGTAGGGGAGAAAACATAGAAGGCTAATGTCAGCAAGAAATAGGCTCTGCTTGACTAAGAATTGTCTGTGCGACTCAAAGAAATCTTCCTGCTCAAATGGGAGATGGTCATCCTCCTTGACGGACTGAGGCAGTGCTAGAGAAGCCGAAAGTAGAAGGTCGAATAGTATACACCCGCCCGACGGATCAAGCCAATCTCGTCCAAGAATGTGTGAGCTGAGGAGGCTTCCGCAATGGCGATGCAACTAGAAGGTATGCATTGATAAGATTACTGGTGATAGAGTCTCCTTGGAAAAGTGGTACCTGGAAGAGGACATGATCGTCTCTGCTTGACTGGGTTTACTTTTCACTTTGGACGGGTCAACCTGGCGAAAATCTCATAAATGTAGGAATCCGGATGCCAAACTGACAAGCAATATACTCAGTCTATTGGTCGATTCTCCTTAAACCTACAATAGAGAGCTTTAGCTGAGCTAAAGGCAGCATGGAGCACATGAGTGAAGTTATAGAAACTAAAATATAATTAGGTCTTTGAAATATTCTGGAATGAAGAATCCAGAAGTTTGAGTAAGTTCGGGTAGAATTTCCTGAAATTGAGAAGTTAAGAACTCTTCGATCTCGCTAAAGATGTTTATCACTCACTAGCATAACAGGCCAGTGTAGACAAGGACAGAGGCTGTTTTGCACTGGACTGACACCAAGATCGAGACAGGAAGACGACACCTTCAAGGTGAATGGGTAAAGGTTAAGATGAGTATAAATAAATTATTATTAAAAATAAGTTGCAGAAGGAAAGCAAAGTAGGACTTGCTGCCAAGGTAGAAATATATTACATAATGTCGGAGTTACTATCCACACAAAGTAAGAAATGCAATGAGATGAGACTAGATGGGAGGAAAAAACTTCACAAATGGTATTACAAATACGTCCATTGGCGCCAATGCACAAAAGTTCTGTGACCATTTCCTTGTTGAGATCAGAGTCGACTTGTATTGAACCAACAAAGCTCTGTACTAACCTGATCTATTTGACAAAATGTCATAGTGATCGCAAAAAGAATTTGGAGCCCGAAAAGATGGAGTAACAGGTTATCATTTCTTGCTGGACAGTTCGTGGAGGTAGACGGGTTGTGACAAATTGGAACGTGGGCAATCTCGTGCATCGTCAGCCTGGTCTTTTGAACCGATGAAACGAGTCGAAAGAGCTTTGCCTCCATCCGGCATAGGCAGATGGAGCCTTACGATATCAGCGAAAGGGTAGACCTGAGGTTACGGATCCATAGTCCGTCTCGCCGACCTAAAGATCTCATTGCTTTAACGGCTGTAAAGCACCAGCGGTTTTGGTGCTAATCATTCGAAACGGTTCTACTGTGACTTTGGCCGCTTGTTTGGGTCTGCCGAGAATCTGTACCAGTCGGGTTCAGGTGTACTCGCTTTTTAATGGAAATCAACTGGACCGGAAGCACTGCCTCTTGACTGGGCTCATCGATGGTCGGCTGACTGCAAGCAGGCGGGTCGTTGAGCTTTCTGGTTTGCCCGTAACCAGCCAACCCGTTCAACGTGTTAGCATGCCTCCCTTCGGGAGACATGTCCTTTGGTTTGCAAAACTGAATGCATCCAGTCGACTTGTACATTTCTGCCCTCAACAGCGGCGTCACCTTTCCCTGACCGGCTGCTTCCCGTTCTGCACCTTTTGGCCCAGACCGCGTCCAACTTGTCTGGCATGAGTCACTATTCTTCAGACCTCTCGGGTACATCACATCTCCGGTTCCGTCCGAATCTTCTGTCACCTCCTCGAGGCTCGTGGAGGTCGGATCCTCGTCCAAGCGACTGCTGGGCGATGTGACTCCTGTCGTTTGCCCGAGCCCTGGGGCAGACGTTGAGGCGGCGTTAACTTGGCCCGGGCAGGGCGCTTTGACGTGGTCGGGCGTCGACAGACTCCTGACGGTGTCGGAAAGACTGGTCAACTCATGTTTGATGGCCGCCAACTTCCGCGCTTCTCCCCCATGCACTCGGTCAACATAATGAAGGAGAATGTCGCGGTCGGTTGGACAGCTGACCTGGAAGGCTGGCAGGCTGTACAGGTTGGCCAGATAGTGCCAAACGTAGATGAGATCTTCTGAAATGCAGAACTGACGATAGTAGGCCGAGGCGACACGAAGATGCTGGAGCTTGGGAGCCAGGACGCAATCAGCATACGATGGTTGATTAGAGTCTAAAAATTTTGTGCCAACCTTGTAGAAGAGACATACATTCAATTTTCAGGAAGGGGTGAAGAGAGAGGCGAAAGCATATAAAAAGGAAAGACAGAGCAATCTTGACGAAATCCTAATTGTACACTATTGAGACAGAATTGAGACAGGAAAATGTTCGTGTAATAGCTTCACGCTTATAATAATTAAGAAAATCTACCGGATCGTTGACTTAACAAGCTTGAGGTTGTGATACGAATGTATTTGGAGTGTGAATTTGCCTAATGAATGGCTGACAGAACTCAGCCCTCTTAAGCAAGAATTGCGCCAGAATCATGCAGACGTCGTCTGTCAAGAACGACGTAAGGGTCACTTTTTCGTCAAAAGTTGCACTTTTATCCAAATAGATTCAGGACTTAGTGCAAAAGTGAACTGGAACAATCTTCGAACTGTGACTTTCTCCACTTTGGATCCAGGTATAAACTAACGTAATGGGAGTGTGATAGCGATAGCCGATCAAAATATCAAAAAATAAATAAAAAGGAGTATGGAAGCGCACACATATAGGCACATACACATAAAGAGACAGACACACTCAAATGCTCCGAAGTTGACATATGACTGGAACTAACCAAATCACTTTATACATCATCAAAGAGGTCAGATATAAACTATATATACAGCTTATATTCTTATAAGAGTAGGA